AATGCAACTACATGTAAAACCATATAATACAGGGGCGGATCTAGGGGGAGGGTGCAGGGGGTGTGCACCCCCTCCCCCCCTGAGATGATGATTTGCATTCTTCAGTCGCTTAGGTGGCTGCTTTTTGTTGTTCACGATTTTTCTCAAACTCTGCTTTCTGCCCTAAAATGTCTCTCTCGAACTCCATCTGCAGTTTATGATTCTCCATATCTATTGCTTGGATTGCGGATTGAGCTCTGTTTGTGTCTTGGTCACCCTTCTCGAGGTGTTTTTTGATTTCTCCGCTCCATGTTTTTATCGCGTCCTCGCTCTCTCCCTTTGTGAACTTCTTTTCCTCTACCGCAGACTTAAGCGTATCCACCGCACTAGCAATACTTGTAATTGATGATTGGTGGCACTCTAGAGATTGTCGTTCTTGTTTCTCCACTATCTCATCGGTTTGGTTGAGCTTGAAGTAAAGCATTTTAACTTTGGTGTCCAACTCTGCTATTTGCTTCTCCATCATTTTTGCTCGGGTCGGATTCTTGCTCTTGTTCGAGCACTCTCACTTTTGTCTTGTCCCGTCGGAGGTGCCACTTGTGTTGTGAATTGGTTTAATGCTCTGATTAATTTCTCAATACAAGCTCAGATCAAGCTCAACGCTAATCACTCTCAATATACATTTTTCATTATTCACTCATTTGACACGATCCCATGTGTACAAAAAACTCTTCTTTGTCTCTTGTCAGTTTTAAGTAAATATTAACAGCGTCACACCCTTATGACGTAATCATATTCTTGACACCTTCCTCCTGATCACAGCACATTCGGCACGAAATTTAAGTTTTTTTATGAGCCCGTGAAACATGAGCTTAACTTCATCCTCAAGCGATGGAGCTGCGTCTTTTATGACCACTACTTTTTCACAGTCTCTTGATGTTATGTACTTGCCAAAAACAATTTCAAGCTTTATATTATTTGTATTTTTTAAGTATTGAAAAGTATATTACCAATTAAGAAAATTAATTTAATTTTTTTTTGTTAACTGACCTTTAGGCAGATATCCACATGGTTACCAACAAAGCTTTGACTTGCTAGGCTTGTTGCTTAATGTGCTGCAAAACAGTTTTTATTACTTAGATTTTGATGGGTTGTTATAACCACTCTTTATCACTTGATGCTACAATCATGGTATGAAAAACTGCCCAATCATTGGTGAAAACGTTATCATTTTCGTGACACAATCGGTTACCATAGCAACACTGTGACCCGTTTTTTTCCACGTTCAGTCAAATCGCCGTCTGGTCATGGAATTTACAGAGGTTGTCATCGAGAAAAGTTAGCACGGATTCCATGATTTCAAGGGCGATGAAATCACATGCAAACGAACACAGCGTTCAAGGTAGACCAACACTAAAGGATCTTTAGTGTTTTCGGAATGGGTTGCTGCAAGCCTTACGAGAGATCAATTTACGAGCGAACATTTTGAGTGAATCATGAATCATGTTATACCAAAGGAGCCATCAACCGGGGCTATCAACTCTTCAACTTGATAAAAAGCATCTTCAAAAGCGTCTTTGTATTTTTAGACAAGATTGTGAACCAAGCAGAATCCCAGCACGAGCTCAAGAATGACTGAGCAACAAGAGCAGAAAGGTTAGAGAATTTGTTTACGAATTCATCTGTTCGAGTACACCTAAGTAAAATGCTCTGAGAAACTTTGTAAAGTATAAT